ACAAAAAGGCCGTCTGTAGGGAAAAGTTGAATACTTAGTAAGCTCAAATAATAGTGATGAAAATACCTTATCCCATTTGTTGACCAATCTGGTTAGGTAGGTTTATGTTACTTGTGAATAATTAGCAGATCCTTACACTGGGATGTTTGTCATATTCACCCTGGGTCCTGCTCCTGCCACTTCTGCCCTCTGTCTTTTAGCTTTATATTCTCTACGTTAGGCTGGCATCATGTCTTTCCTGTTTCAAATTATATGTTGACCTCTTATCTCCTGGCTTAAGATGTTTGGATCTCATATGCTCTAGTCCCCTATATCACAAGGACATTTTAGGAAAAAGAATTTTTACTTTTGTGCCCTCTGGTGAAAAGACTTGATAACTAATGTTTTGCGTCCCATAGTGGTTGGAGTTTTTTGTTTCATTTTGTTTTCTCTTCCAGGAAAATAAGAAGCCCCAGAATCATATCAATGAATTGCAAATAATTAGGGCCTATGGTATCTGTTTAATAACAGGAACACCATTTTCTTATTTTCTGCTCTGATAATATTATTCTGCAGCTATCTCTATAGCACTCAGACTCTTGGATATATTCTAGAGTAGAATAAAACTGATTTTGAGAGATATTATAATGTCAGTATTCATCGGAGATGAAAAATGGGAAAAAAAAGAAATAAAAACTGGAAGTAGAATTAATTTTCAATTGTAAATATCTTTTTGTATGACTTAAGTACTCTATAATAAACAAAAGCACCCAAAAAGAAGGAAATGGAGCCTCTAATAATGTTTACAGATTAATAAGGAAAATAAATATCAGGAGATCTGTGGGGATAATTCCATATTTAAATATGGACCTGTTAAGAGAATGGACTACATTTTCCCCCCCCCACAAATTTAAAAAAAAAAGCAAAAAAACAAAAAAAGAAAGCTTGCTGCCTCTCCTCCCAGAGTTCAGCCCTGGGGATAACTTAGTTTATCACAAAAGAAGGTCACATTTCATCAGTGGAGCCAAGGGTGATAAAATTAGGATCTTGTGGGAGCCCTTATTTTGTTTCTGATTGTCTGTTTCTTTGGCTGGGTGGTACCCAGTGGTTTCTCCCCTGCAGTTGGGTTTTTCAGGGGTCATTGGCCTCTTTCACGATCTCATAAAAAGGCTGTTACCATTTAAAGAGGCCACATCTTCCCAATCCATGTTGCTCATACCTTTTCCATTTCCTTGGCAGGCTCTTTTTCAGGAGATAAGGTTTGAATGGTAAACATTATCTTAATTACAAGCCTGAATTTCTAAAGCACTTTAATTTAAAAATATAAAAGAATATATGGGACTGAGATCAATTTATAAACTACTTTCAAAAGCAGATCCCATGACACCTTCTGGCATATCCAGATTATTTGCCTACATATGTGAATTTTAATTTTCGTGGCTGATTGCAATACCGAGATTATATGCTCCTAATAATTTTTTAGCAATGTAATCTTGATACAAGAGATAAAGCGAGCTTATACTGATATTGTTGAATTTCTGAAGAATGGAAAGGATTGCTTTTTGCTATCTGAAAAAAACATCCTTATAAAGACTGCTGACTTTCTGGAGATTAGAACTGGAGTGTCTTTTGTTTTCTAAAAATACTGGTACAAAAAGCAGTGGTCTTTGGAGAAAATATCCTACAGTTTTTCACAGCCAAAAAGTTAGTGCAAGCCAAAAACTTTTTTTTCCTTTTTTTAAGAAAAAGGGGAAAAGCAGTAAGCTTAGATGCCAAGAACTCAAGTGAAGTATTGTCTGGTCTAGTGTTTGTATTTAGTACAGATTTATCAGACTTATTTTTCTTGTGGTTAATGTTATCACTAATGTCAATTTAAAAAGTCTGTCTTAAAGGCACAATACTTTGACTTTCAGTGTTGTGCTCTGGGATCTTTTATTATAGTACCTGGCTTACAATGTGTTAAGTGATAACAGAAACAAAAGAACTGGATCTTGTTTTGCAGAATACAGCAGACTGTGGGTTAAAGTGCCTCTAATAATGATAACCATCCTTTCGCTTGTTTTCTCTTATTATTTTGTGTGTGTGTGTGTGTGTGTGTGTGTGTGTTTTAAGATTTTTATTTATTCACTTGACAGAGATCACAAGTAGGCAGAGAGGCAGGCAGAGGGAGAGGAGGAAGCAGGTTCCCTGCCAAGCAGACAGCCCGATGCGGGACTCGATCCCAGGACCCTGAGATCATGACCTGAGCCAAAGGCAGAGGCTTTAACCCACTGAGCCACCCAGGCACCCCTTTTTTTGTGTTTTGGAAGTATAAGCAGCCTTTTATTTTTTTAGCTCCCATTTATTATTAAACATCTATTATATGTCAGCCCTGTGCTAAGTGTTTACACAGGTCATCTTATTTTATTCTCATGGTAACCCAATGAGGTTCAGTACTATTTCCTATTCTATTATACACGAGGAAACTGAAGGATAGAGAGACTAAGGAATATATCAGAATCCTATGACTAGTAATGTTTCTGAGCTGGAAACTGAACCCAAGTCTGCCTATTTCCAAAGTCCTTCTTACCTTACCTTCCCCCCCCCACCCCGGGTCTCTCCTCAACCTCAGATACCACTAGGAAGCCACCAGGCTTTCTTTGTAGGAGCCCAGTGATACCTCAAAACAACCTCGTTTTGATGTAGAAACTTTGACTCAGTTAAATAGGTTCTGGGAGGACATAGCTGGTGATCACAAATTCAAACTCAAAGCTTTCTGATGGACACATCTCTAGTTACTAAACCAACCAGTGCATCCCAGGATTACCTGGATGGAATTAGTACAACAAAAACAAACGCACAATTGGAGAATGTTAGAGGGCTGTCAAATTTTTACTTCCTCAAGTAATAACAGTATAAAATAAACCTATCGCTACCATTTCACAAAAGAAAGGACTTGTATTTTTAAAAGAAAGGACATTTTTAAAAGGTTTTATGTATTTATTTATTATTTGAAAAAATTTATTTGAGAGAGAGAGCCCGCGTGCGCGCGCAAGAGAGAGAGAGAGAGAGAGAGAGAGAGAGCGCACGCATGAGCACGAAGTGGGGGGCAGCACGAACGGGGGAGGGGCAGAGGCAGAGGTAGAGGAAGAAGCCAACTCCCCCGCTGGGTGTGGTGTCCTGGCAGGCCAGCCCCCTGTGGGGCTGGGGGTGGGGGACAGGGGCGGACCTTCATTCTAGGACCCTGTATCATGACCTTAGCTGAAATCAGAGGCTTAACTGACTGAGCCATCCAGGCGCCCCTATTTATTTGAGAGAGAGCAAGTGAGCCTGAGTGTGAATGGGGGGGAGAGGCAGAGGGAGAAGAGTGAGAGAATCCCAATCAGACTCTCCCTCAACATGGAGCCAGTCGTGGGGCTCCATCCCCTGATCTAAGATCATGGCCCGAGATGACCGCAGTGGAAACCAAGAGTGTGGGTTGCTCAACAGACTAAGCCACCCAGGCACCCCAAGAAGAGTTGTTTAAAATGAATAAATTCAACTTTAGAAAAACGTGATGCTGCCTGTTTTTTTTCTGATTTTGTCACAGACTGTTGCTCATTTGGTTGCAGACCAGTTTTTGGTAACTATCCTGTACCATGCTTTCTTACAAATCCAAAAACTTGTCAACTGTTAAAGAATCCTCACCCATGGTAACACTCTTGATTCTGTGATCTTTAGGGAGTGTATTGATACATCTTGTATGGTAAGCTTTATTCTTTTTTTTTTTAAGATTTTATTTATTTATTTGACAGACAGAGATCACAAGTAGGCAGAGAGGCAGGCAGAGAGAGAGGAGGAAGCAGGCTCCCTGGGGAGCAGAGAGCCCAATGAGGGGTTCGATCCCAGGACCCTGGGAATCATGACCTGAGCCTAAGGCAGAGGCTTTAACCCACTGAGCCACCCAGGCGCCCCTGGTGAGCTTTATTCTTGTTCATAGTTTGGTTTTATTCTGCGTTAGGGTAAGCAGTCTGAAGATACCAAAGACGATTATGATAGCTCTTAGTCCCCTTTCATTTTCTTCCTTTTTCTTGCTTACCTTCCAAATAATAGTTGCTTGCCTAGTATGATTTACTGTTCTAATGATCTCATTTTCTCTTTATTTCCAATTTCCTTGCCTAGGCATTCATCATGAAACTTTTGAGACCCTTGGTAGAAGGGATTTTAGAACCAGCAGTCTTTGGATTAAGTCGGGTGAAAGAGAAAAGAGGGACATCATTTCTGGGTGTGGGCAGTGCCCACCACAGTGCCTTCCTTATACATAGTAGGTACTCAACAGTTAATTGTTGGACCCGTGAGTCTTTTTTGTAACCTAATCTGTCAATACTAACTCCTCAGATTTTATGCTATTTTTGTGTGCATGTGTAAAGCTCAGAATTTGTAGACTGTCCATTGGAATGTGGAATTAATATTATTGGATCTCCAAATAGAGTTTCTTGGATTATAATAAGGCTCTTCTTCTTATGGTTTTACCAGTTTTACTGTCCAACACATGACATCTTTGCCTGTGTGGTGATGTGCTGAGGAAAGAGATTAAGAGATAATTTTTTAAGGACCCAAAATTGTAAAGATTGGGATTTGACCTTTCAACTACATGTAACTACAACAGTTGTGGTTTCTAATACGGAATAACCCCCCTTGCTTACCCTGTGCACGGAACTTCGTCAACTAAGTCAGTTGTCACAGTAGTTAAAGGGGCTTTATTTGTGAATCCAGGGTTTAAAGGATGCTTTAATATCTTTTGTGTTTATATTTTCTTTTGCAGTAAACCTTCTCAGTGCCCTAATTTTGATTAATAATTGTTAGTAGATATTACATTTCAAATGGGAGAATACATAGGAAGAAGACTCACTCCCGTTATTTTTGTTGTTGTTATTTCAGACCAAAATCTTGTGCCAGTGAGCTCAGCCATGTTGCATCCAGATTCTCCTCAGAAGTGAGACTTTCCAAAGGACCAATGACTCTGTTCCCTGTGCCCTTTCATTTTTTCCTACTCTGTAGCTATGTCTCGATCCCGCCATGCAAGACCTTCCAGATTAGTCAGGAGGGAAGATCTAAACAGAAAGAAAAGCAGCCAACTGAAGAAGCCATCTAAGGCAACCAACAAAAATGTGGCATCAGTCAAGACTGTGAGCCCTGGAAAATTAAAGCAATTAATTCAAGAAAGAGATGTTAAGAAAAAAATAGAGTCCAAACCACCTATGCCAGTCAGAAGCCTTCTGACAAGGGCTGGAGCAGCACGAATGAATTTGGATAGGACTGAGGTTCTTTTTCAGAACCCAGAATCCTTAACTTGCAATGGGTTTACAATGGCTCTCCGAAGCACCTCTCTTAGCAGACGACTCTCCCAACCTCCGGTGATCATAGCCAAACCCAAGAAAGTTCCACCTCCGAAGAATTTAGAAAAGCAACATGAATGTGATTATAATGTAGTTACTGACATGGGAGTAAAACACTCAGAAAATGATTCTGTTTCAACACAAGTCCCCCTAATTGCTTCCGATATAGAGAATCTAATTGGTGTACAAAATGCATCTTTATTTAAAGGTGAGAGCCAAGAGACAACCCAGTCTTGGTCCCAGAGGGTGGAGGGTTCCAAAGTAAATGTCTCCACTCAGAGTGATCCTATAGTAGAGATCGTTTCTGGGTCATCAGAAGAGACACGTGGTGGTGAAGGACTATTCTCTAAAGAGACTTTGAATGATATCAACGATTCCCCTAGAATGTTTGCTCAGGACACTCTGTGTGCTCCTTTGCTCCAAAGAGCAGCCCTCAAGGTTACTTATGAAGGAAACTCCAGCATTCAGTTAGAAGATTTGGGTTCACGAGTAGAATCTCTTAAGCTGTCTGATTCTTACCTGGATCCCATCAAAAGTGAACGTAATTGCTACCCCACCTCAAGCTTTAATAAGGTTGTACCTGAATTGGACCTTAGAAACTGTTTGTCCATTGGTGGGTCCATATATCCTACCTCATTAATAAAACTCCTCTTGGCGAGCTCAGAACAAGAAGCCCTTGGTGCTAAACCGGATCATCAAGAGGTACTCAAAGCTACCCCAGATCAACCAGAAATTCCTAATACCACCCCTGTCATAGGACAGGCTTTTAGTGCTGTCCCACATCAATGGGAAGTTCCTGGTGCTAACATAATTCATGGAGAGGCTCTGGATGAGACCCCAGACCCACCAGAGATGCCTGGTGCTGTTCCAGTCCAAGGAGAGGTCTTTGGTTCTATCCTAGACCAACAAATCCTTGGAATGGGTGGTGGTACTGCCTCCGACCCACCTATCTTTCTTCCTGCTCCTCTAAACCCAATTGCTACCTATAATGCTCTCCCAGAATGGCCTGAGCCCCAGAGCACTGTTTCATATGGGCTTGAGGTCCACGGCGCTGTGCAGATTTTGCCCTTGGGCTCTGGTCACACTCCTCAGGCATCATCAAACTCAGAGATAAGTTCGGTACCTCCAATAATGACTATTAGCAATATAGAAAATGAGAAGCAAGTTCATATAAGCTTTCTGCCAGCTAACACTCAGGGGGTCCCGTTAGCCCCTGAGCGAGGACTCTTCCATGCTTCCCAGGGCATTACCCAACTTTCCCAGGCTGGTCCCAGCCCATTGGAAGGTGGGAGCTCCCAGATCGGCATGACCAGCGTGGCTGACCTCAACACCACAGTGGTGTCCAGACCAGTGTCACTCGCCAGTACCTCTTCTTCCTATACAACTTTGCTACCTACTTTGGAAAAGAAGAAACGAAAGCGGTGTGGGGTCTGTGAGCCCTGCCAACAGAAGACCAATTGTGGTGAATGTACTTACTGCAAGAACAGAAAGAACAGCCATCAGATCTGTAAGAAAAGGAAATGTGAGGAGCTGAAAAAGAAACCATCCATCATCGTGCCTTTGGAGGTGAGTAAATCCCCACAGGGTGGGGCTCCGTAGAGTGATCTGTGCAGAGACTAGGTGATTCAGATTCAGTATTATGTCCTTTGCCTTTGGTAACATTTTTTTTTTTTTAAGATTTTATTTATTTATTTGACAGAGATCAAAGGTAGGCAGAGAGGCAGTCAGAGAGAGAGAGGGGGAAGCAGGCTCCCTGCTGAGCAGAGAGCCCGATGTGGGGCTCGATCCCAGGACCCTGGGATCATGACCTGAGCTGAAGGCAGAGGCTCTAACCACTGAACCACCCAGGTGCCCCCTTTGGTAACATTTTGTATTCTCTATAAGAATTTGTGGATCTACCCGAAGTATGTCTTGTCCAGTGAGTAATACTTTAGCTTATTTTTAGAATTTGTCTCAGAAAACTAGAACATAAAGTTTTTCCATTATGGGATTTGATGGAGACAGAGAAATGACATGAAATGTGGTTTTGCAAAGATTTCCACTATGCCTTATTTTGGCTAGTTGTGTGTCTTTTATGGAAGTTACAGATTTAACTTAAATTTAAATTAAGAGTGGAACAAATTAATTAACTCCCTTGCAGCTTGAGGAACCAGTGGAATTAAACTTCTACTCTTTTTTTTTTTTCTAAAGATTTTATTTATTTATTGACAGACAGAGATCACAAGTAGTCAGAGAAGCAGGCAGAGAGAGAGAGAGGAGGAAGCAGGCTCCCTGCCGAGCAGAGATCCCGATGCGGGGCTCGGGGCTCCATCCCAGGACCCTGGGATCATGACCCGAGCCAAAGGCAGAGGCCCTAACCCACTGAGCCACCCAGGCGCCCCAAACTTCTACTCTTTTGAAAGAATAAAACTGTCTGTATCCTTCATTTTGAAACTTTGCCTTTGAAGGTATAACAATAATAAAGTTTTAATCTTAACTTTTGGCAGATGATTTCCGCCTGATTCACATACCCCATGTGGTTGTTAGGATTATCAGAAGTTCAAAATGGTTTGCAAACTCCAAAGTGATACATTGGTTCTCATTATTACAGTTTATGAGCCTAAGGTACTGAAAATATTGGTTGGCTTAGACTTTATTTAAAGGATTTTATGGAACTTGATTAATACTTGATTTTCAGACCTTTAAAACACATGCCAACTATGGTGTTAATGATTTTTTGATCACTCATTTGAAGTTATGCTTATTTTGTGTCTGCTATAAATACAGGCATAGTAGAAGAGATTAATTTAAAAGTATTGTGAACTTAAACCTAGTCATTCTTTACTGTTTCACTCTTAAATTATCTGTCCCCAAATGCTGACTTTCTACTGGATCCTTTGCAAACAAGGTCGGACATTTAACTGATTATGTATTAATGGGCATTTGAGGTATTTCTAAAATATTCTGTCATTATAAACCTTACTGCAATGGATAATTTTTATTCAAGTCACTTCACATGTGTGGGAGTGGCCAGTAAATGGTTTACAAACATACGTCTAAACCACTAGCAGCAATATCTTACAGTTCCATGTTTGTAACATTGCCAAATGGCATCATTGCTGAAAGTACTCACGTGATCTCTAATAGGTATAGTCCAGTTTGTTTTCTTTTTTCTAAACCTGCTCCTCTTTTTGCATTATGTATTTGACTTAACGACTGACCATTTACATGGTCACCCAAAATGGAAAATTCAGTCATCTTTGAGGCCTTCCTCTCACTTTTCTAGATTTCTTGTTCTATGAGATTGGAGCACTCCTACCTTTCTATTTTCTTGGCTACTTCTGTAGTTGATGCCTTTGTCTTTTATTGGGACAATTTTAGTGTTCTATTACCAGCAAGTATTGACAGCACTTCTACTCCAGGTTGTGCACTGGGGATATAGTTGTGAGTGTCCCAGCTAAAAGAGAAGTCAGGATGTTGAACCCTTTTTTTTTTCTTTTTTTAAGACTTTATTTATTTATTTGACAGAGAGAGATCACAAGTAGGCAGAGAGGCAGGCAGAGAGAGAGGAAGGGAAGCAGGCTTCCTGCTGAGCAGAGAGCCCGATGTGGGGCTCGATCCCAGGACCCTGAGATCATACTTGAGCCGAAGGCAGCGGCTTAACCCACTGAGCCACCTAGGCGCCCCAATGTTGAACCTCTTAAGTGCAGTTCAAGTTTTCTTTCTAAAACCCTGATGATTCTCCTACTTAAATACATTTAGTTCTCTACTCTGTGTGATGTATCTCACGCAAAACAAAACAAAACAGAAATAGAGAAGAGCTCTTTGTGCCTTCCCAGTATAGATGAAGCCTAGCTTCTTTTTTTTTTTTAAGAGAGACTGCCAGAGGGAGAAAGATGAGGGGGGTGAGGGAGGGTAGAGGGAGAGGGAGAGAGAGAATCTCAAGCAGACTCTCCACTGAGCACGAAGCCTGATGTGGGGCTTGAGATCCCATGACCCTGAGATCGTGATTTGAGCCAAAATCAAGAGTGGGATACCGGGGCACCTGGGTGGCTCAGTTGGTTGAGGGGCTGCCTTCCACTTAGGTTGTAATCCTGTAGTCCTGGGATGGAGTTCTGCATCCGGCTCCCAACTCCATGGAGAGTCTGCTTCTCCCTCTGACCTTCTCCCCTCTCATGCTTTCTCTCACTCTCATTCTCTCTCAAATAAATAAATAAAATCTTAAAACAAACAAACAAACAAACAAACAAAACGTGAGATACTTAACCCGCTGAGCCACCCAGGTGCCCCCCAAAAGATTTACTTTTATCACTTACAAAGCTGATTCTGAAGAATGTATTTGGTTGTCCTTATACTGAACCCTGGCCCCAGATAGACCATAAGTTCATGGAGAGGCAGAGGAGAATAAAGGGAACACTTCTCTGAGGGAAGTTTGTTCTGAGAGACCAAAGAACAGTTGTATACTCTTGTTACTGGTTTCTTTGCTTAATATTCATCAATAATATTGTTTATTTGTTTTTATTGCATTATGGTGTTCCATTGTATGTTTATATCACAATACATTAATCCATTCTACTGTTTTTTTTTTAATTTTTAAAAGATTTTATTTATCCATTTATCAAAGAGAGAGAGAGCACCCATAATCAGGGAGATTGGCAGACAGAGGGAGAAGCAGGCTTGCTGCTGCGCAAGGAGCCTGATGCAGGACTCAGTCCTAGGACCTTGAGATCATGACCTGAGCCAAAGGCAGATACTTACCGACTGAGCCACCCAGGCGTCTCCAATCCATTCTACTGTTAATGTGCACATTGTCATAAATGTCTTTTGGTGAATATATGTGTGCATTCTAGTGAATAGATTTCTGGGAGTGGAATTGCTGGGTCACAGAATATGAATGTGCAGCTTTCATGGATATTATTCAGCAACTGTGGTTGTTCCTGTTAAGATTCTTCATCAGTACGTATGAGAGTTTCACTAGCTCCACATCCTTGTCCACACTTGGTATTTTCTGTCTTGTTTTACTTGAATCGTTTTGTTGGATGTGTAGCGGCATCACTACATTGGACTCATGAAATTGAGCTACTTTGCTTCTTAGTCATTTAGATATTGTCTTTGTCTATTTTTAAATGGGTTTTTCTGCCTTTCCATTATTGCTTTATAAGAGTTCATTACATTTTATTGATACAAATTCTTTGTTGAATATATGATTGCATAGATCTTTACTTATGCCGTGACAACTTTTCACTCACTTTATCCTGCTTTTTAATGCATAGAAGATTTTAACTTTAATGTCCAATTTATCCATGCTTTCCTTTATGTCCTGGTTAAGAAAATTTTGTCTATTTTTTGCCCATTCCAAGTCATGAAGATGTTTTTTGCTTCCTTCTTAAAAAGTTACTTTTTTAAAAAAAATTTTATTTATTTTTTTTAAGATTTTATTTATTTATTTGACAGAGATCTCAAGTAGGCAGAGAGACAGGGGGAGAGAGTGGGGGAAGCTCCGTGCTGAGCAGAGAGCCTGATGCGGGGCTCAATCCCAGGACCTTAAGATCATGATCTGAGCTGAAGGCAGAGGCTTAACCCACTGAACCAGGCGCCCCTAAAAAGTTACTTTTTTAAGCTTTTCACATTTAGGTGTAAACTATATCTGGAATTGACTTCTGTGTGTAGTGTGAAGAGTCAAGAGTGATTCTTTTCCGTATGGATCTCTAATTGACTGGCACCATTAGTGAAATGACCATCCTTTCCCTGTTACTACAGTCTCGTTTTTGTCATAAATCAGGTGATTGCTTAGTTCTGAGTCTATTTCTAGACTCTGTTTCATTGGTCTTTCTGTTTATCCTTATGTCTAAACTCCTCATCAGTAGGCTTTATAATTGTAACAATTAAACTGGTAGTGTAAGTCCTTCAGCTTTGTTCTTCAGTACTGATTTGGGCTATTTCTATTGTTGTTCTTTGCATTTTCATTAACATTTTGAATCAGCTTGTAAATTTCCACTAGAAACTCTGCTGGGATTTTATTGTGATTATGTTCAACCTATACATCAATTTGGAAAGACTGACATTTTTACAATATTGAATCTTATAGTTCATCTTTATATCTTTTTTTTAAAAGATTTTATTTATTTATTTGACAGACAGAAATCACAAGTAGGCAGAGAGGCAAGCGGAGGGGGGGGAAGCAGGGGGAAGAGAGCCTGATGTGGGGCTTGATCCCAGGACCCTGAGATCATGACCTGAGTTGAAGGCAGAGGCTTTAACCCACTGAGCACCCAGGTGCCCTTATCTTTCTATCTTTATATATATATATATATGTCATTTAATTTCTTTCAATAATATTTTATAGTTTCCAATAAAGAGTTATTTCATTTGTTTTATATCTAGGTATTTGATATTTTTACTCCTAGGTGTTTGATATATCCCTAGATATTTGATAGTTTTTTTTTTAATATATTTTATTTATTTATTTGACAGACAGAGATCACAAGTAGGCAGAGAGGCAGGCAGAGAGAGAGGGGGGAAGCAGGCTCCCTGTTGAGCAGAGAGCCCGACTTGGGGCTTGATCCCAGGATCCTGGGATCATGACC